GCTAGCTCTGATAGTCCCCTGAATCTTTCAATCTTTGCAGAATGTAAGACGCAAACTGGCTCTTTGTCAACCTATCTCCCTGGGCGACTTGAACATCATTCTGACTGTTGCCAAGTGAATCTATGCATGGAAATGCTCTGTTTGCATCTGGACACGGATCTCGCTGCTGGCTCCCTCTTCACTCCGACTATAGCCTCAACACAGGACCCTAAATCCACCCCTGAATCCTACCCCATAACCCATCAATCCTAGTCCTAAACCCCACAAACCTTGTTATAGCTAATTACTGTACCATCCTGAAACGCCTGAACCCCACAGATCCCAACCTTTGAGCCCAAACCTCTTTAGGCTGGAGTTGCCCTTGCCGCATAGCTGCAGCAATGCCTTCGCATGGAGGTCGGAATCATAGTTTAGGGTTCAGGGTTGAGGGTTTAAGTTTCATTATAGCACGAACGTTGTACATGTACCTCTATATGTATACGACACATACACACACATATACATATAATGATATATATATATATGTCAATACATACTTACTTCTATAGGTACATGAGTCTTCTGCTGGATCAGCTTCCGATTCGTTCATGCTTCTGCAGTGCCGAGAAGTACCAGTAAAAGTCTCGTTTGCTGAGGGAGGGAAAGTTAATGAACAGCTCAGGAAATAACCAGAAGCTCCTTATCAGTACCATCATACAAAGCATAGTTGTTCATAATCTACATATTTAAAGGAGGGGCAAGCAGCAGTAGTGACGGAGGACTCGCACCGAAATATTCAGAATAATGGTTGTAGGAGTGCATAGGATCTGCTCTCCCGGATGTGTTCATGGGAGGTACACATACACTGGGTATATTTGAATAATATGTAATGTAAGGTGCTCCACCCCCCTTAATTGTCCCAGATGTCGTGGAAGTTGCGTGCCCGATCTTCCGGCATGGAGGAGGGCGACCACCCATCTCAAATGGAGCTTCCTTACATATCTTTGGCTGGGCTGTTATCATGACGATTGTGATACGCCATTCACAAATCACGGAAATCCCAATTTCAGTAGATACCCTAATTGTGAGATCCGCTGCAAAGAATAGCGGACAATAGTGGCAAAGCATGTGGCTGCTCTATAGTACTTTCCATTTTCTTTTCCATTATCCCAATATAACCCCAATATATCCCCAGTATAACCTCAGCATACCCCTAATATAAGGCCTGTACCAGTTTATGATTTAAACATTGCTCCCCTTCAATAGGCTTCCCTTCGTCAAATTGTTTGGTGCCACAAAGGAAAGGAAGCCTTCAGGTGTCAAGTGCAGACATAGCATTGTGAGCACAAGGTAGTTTAGTTGCTGTTGTGGGCAGGGGATTTATTATCTGCCCCCGAGTGCGCGACGGACAAGTAAGGCTTACATGGGAACCGCAGGAAATTCTATGCACTCTCCAAGAAAACCCGGTGAGAATCATCTCCTCACTCTTTTACCACGTCCTTCAAGAGGGCTAGTTCTGGGTGGCAGCAACAAGCTTCAGTAGTACCTGCACCACCACTCCTAAGGAACCTGGTAACGCTGCAAATGCGGAAATTTGCAGAAAGACATATCCCTGATCCCGAATTCCTATATAGGAACCCTAACCCTTAACCTCACCTCCTAGTTCAACCATGACCTCAGTGATGAGCAACTCGTTAGCCCAGGTATTGGAAAAACGTGGGCCTTAATCCATACACTGAGGGCTTCCGAGAAGCTTGGCTGAAATTCTGCTTTGCTATAGGGCTGGAGCAGGGTTTGATTCCATTAGGCTTTGGCTAGGCAATCTCAACAACCATGGCTGAACCCATGTGTCTTCAGTTGAAACAGTATGCGTTCGCACGAAGCAAAATGCATCTCCATAATCAAGATGAAGCGTGCTCAACAAAAGCACTCGGGAGTGGGATGTAACGTGTTATGATATGCGTGCCAAATACACGCCCGAAGTTGCTTCAGACAAATGTTGAACAAATGTGACGAGATGCAGACGCATCCCGTTGAACCTTCAATCCTAGATGAGACACAGACTCCAGATACCTAAGCCAAACCCTTTTTGCTGCCTTTGCTCGCAACTCTATACACCAGTGTGGGTCCAAGTTTCGGGGTAAGGGTTTTCTTGAATGGCTTTTGACCCCAGGGAAAGAAACTGCATTCCAGGCAAGCTTGGCAAGCATCTTGGGATCATATACCCCTACAAATAAGGCTCAAGTAGGCCTCATTCGAGGTCTGCTTTGGGAGGGGGCGCAAGCAGGGTAGTATACTCATGACCAGGCAAGGCATTCTGCTCACGTAGCCCACCATCTCAACCAGTCTCATCCCTGGATGTGCTTGAATATGTGAAGGTGTTTCACCTTCTGAACAAGACATGATCTCCAGCATAACTCCGACCACTGCCAAGCAGCGGCTTCTCGAACGAGGGGTCTGTTATACTGTTAATCATTTCCGCCTCATATTACCCACTCCCCCCCCCCTACCCCCCTAACATTAAATATTCCCCATTGTGGTATGTTATAATATATTGGGAGTATTTAACATAGGGTGGGCGGCTTTGATATCAGGGGGAAGGGATTACCCTTTGTAGTAGTACGACGAATGCAGATGGTCGCCAGAGCCCTGAAGCCACAGTGGCAGCTAGGCCAGGTTCCTTGGGCTCATCCCTGCTTGCTTGTTCCTAGCAGGGAATATAGGACTATGTTATGTAAAGATTGTATAGCGATTAAATTCCCTCATTCACTCTAAGAACCCTACATAACGCTCATGTGGCTAGTGCTTGGTCACAGTATCAACTCGGGACCTGTCCCAGCCAGAACGTTATTCTAACCCCTACTCTACAAGTCCACAACTGCTGTTCAGGGGTTTTATGAGGCCATGCCTGGAAAGTCCAGACGTAAAATAGAAAGCCATGTGGTAGTTTCCTAGAATAGCGCCACTTCATATAGACCCCAAAATACTTTAGTCCTTATTTAGGGACCCCCAAAATGGTACCCCTAATTTTGGGAAACCCTGGGCCCAAAACCCTGAATATCTTGTCCATCATCCCAATATATCCCTATTACCCCTAACTTTGGTAAACCCAAAACCTGAAGGAACCCCCCCTATGTGCGGGAGCGTGATGCCCAGTAGCTAGCTGAGGAACACTGGCTCGTCAAACCCAAGTCCGGGCCCTACTCAGGGTTTCGGCCGAAAGGTCAAGAAGCAGTGTAGGGCTTAGGGTTTGGAGTTTTAGGGTTTAGAGCGCGTAGGGTTTTAGAGTTTAAGGTTTTAGAGCTTAGGGTTTAGGGTTTTAGGGTTTAGGGCAGAGCCGGCCCGAAACAAGTAGTTATTACGGAGAGTCTCCCATATAGGCTAATATAAAAAAACTGTTATACTTTGGGGTTAATATTGGGTAATATAGGAGTTATGTGATTGAGTCCCTACAGCCAGAATCGTTGGTATATTGGGGACCTACAGTAAGGCCCCTGGTTATGTAAGCTAAATACCACATGCAATTTCAATACTTTAGACGTTTAGGAGTTTAGGGTTTAGGGGTTTAGGGTTTAGTGGTGAAGGGTTTAGGCGTTTAGGGTTTCATTGGGGGCTTATAGGATTGAGGGTTTAGTCTTGGCAGAGCCTGCGGGAGTCCGGATGCAACAAGGGTTTCGGATGAGGTGTTCCTGCAACCCAAAAGCATCTGGAATACGAGCCATGTTGGCTTCTTTGGTGGGTTTTGGGCCATTATGTTACCTTGCTTTGAGGTCCAGGTTATACCTTACAGTTCCCTGTGAACCCAAATGTGGGTAGATGATGGGGCTTATGATAGGGGAGGAATAGGTTATCCTGGCAAAGGATGTTCTGAATCTTCTGCTCTTTACTGATAGTGAAGATCTGAATTTTACATTTAAACTACACAAAAACTGTAAACCCTACAAATCCCAACTGCCAGACCCCAAACTTGATCCGCAACCGTGAACCCTGTAGACACTCCTGCAACCTCACAAAGCCAAAAGCCCTCCCCATCACCCAAATGAATCCTAAATCTACACGGTTTAGGGTTCAGGCTAAATCCTGACATTTCTATATGAAGCAGGATCAAAGAGCTGATCCAGCGGCTGGCCAATGGATCTTGCAAGAGTGGAGCACCCAAGGCTGGGATCGTCTTTCCAGTGTTCCCAGGGCTTTGGAACTTCAAGGCTCTCAGGGTTGAGGGCTACTTCATTTATCAGTTTAAAAGTTTAGGGTTCATTTCAGGGTTTAGGGGTTTGGGGTTAAAATGGGGGGTATATAGGGATAATGGAAACGAAAATGGAAACTACTATTTAGGGTTTAGACTGAGAAAAGTGGTCAGTACTTCTTCCGGATAAGGACGAGTTGTCAGGGTCTAGTCGCTCTGCTTGACTATTCCGATATCAGTACTTCATGGGGATATTAAGGAATCTACCCACCCTGATTCCTAAACCATGTTTCAGGGGCCGGGTGAGTCAGATCTCGGGGGCCTTCCGGGAGCTCGCAGTAGATCGCCAAGTTGCCCGCACGAATGCCATGTAATCCCCACCCCGGAAGATTCCCCCCTGGCCGCGTATAATATTTCAAAGTGCAGCCCATATGGATTTCGCGATATGTTTCGTATTCAGGACATGCAGGGGGTTGAAATATCAGGGTGAGGGAATTTTTGGCGGGGACTGAACTACTGGAAACGCTGCAAGGAGTCTAGGAGGTGAACTACTGCAATGGGGTCTGAGGCATCAAGGCTTGGGTCTAACTGCAGTATTCTGGTTTTATCCAGACATGAGAAATTACATGCCAGTTCACACAATGACACTAGCAATGAGTTCATACCAACATGTCCATCTGCAGTAGACACAGGCCCAAGGCTGAGTTTGTCCTTCGAAGTCTCATTGATCTGCGCTGCCAAAATGACGGTGGGCTGGAGTGACACTTTCAACTCTGCTCAAGCGGCGTTGAAAGAGGGAAAATTCTTCGATGGAGTTCAGGCTATCAATGCGTGCATGGAGGCTTACGCAAAGGTTGTGGGTGATGAATCTGACCGAGTACTGCGGGATCCTCCTGCTTTCTTAGAGGAGTACAAGGCAAAGCTCACGGAGGAGCAGAAAGACGTATTGCGCAAGATGCGCCGGCGCTCATAAGAGGTCAAGTTTTCTTTTTAAACAGATAGCCGGCTTCAAACCAATCACTGTGATGATAGAAGGGCTTCACTGTTTGCATATTTTTTGCCTTCAGATGACGGAGGTATGAGGTCAGAGGCGACATCATCACTGGCTTGGGTGCGCACAAGCGGGCGTTTGCTGACTATCAGTCACCCACTCATGCTGAATTGGGAATGGCGGGACGAATTTAGTATAGTAGCTCCTAAGTAACCCACAAACACAACGGTAACCAATTACAACCCATTCCTCCCTTTGCATGAATAAGGTCAGCACAGACGCTCGGAGCAAAGCTGTCGGAGAAGATGGCCAAATCGCAGGCAGCAACCAAGGAACCCGCTCCGGCTAGCTCTGCGAAAGTACCTGTTACTGTGCCCTCGATTTGTTCAGCTTCTTGAAAACCATGTTTGAATGAAACCAACCGTGTAGTACCTCAACAAGAGCTCAGGTGCTCACTGGGTTTTTGGGCAGTGGCAAGACAACCCTTCTGAACCACATTCTCAAGGAGTTTCATGGAAAACGCATCGCTGTCATCGAGAACGAATTTGGAGAGGCGAGATTTTCCGTAAACCAGGCTGCCATGTGTGGTTGCCCGTACCTTGCAATACTGAACCTTCTGCGGACCTAGTACACTTCGTGTTGGGTGGGCGGGCCTCGTGAAGACTGGGAAAAAGTTTTATGTCCTACCAGGTTGGCATTGATGACAGTCTCATTGAAGCAGGGCCGATGGCGATGGAGGAAAACCGGACTGTTGATTTTTGCAGTCTTTTCACGTTTTCATGTAGAGTTTGAACTTGCTCAAACTTGCGGTAGGTTGAAAACAAGGTGAGTACACCCATACTCCTGCTGCCAAACCAAGGAAAACATTATCGAGATGAACAATGGCTGCATCTGCTGCACTGTCCGTGGCGACTTGATCGCCGGACTCAAGAAGATCTTGAAGAGGTCCATGAAACTAGGATCCAATCCGCTAGAATCACGTGTTTCGCTCTTGGCAGCCTAGGCCCAAGCTCCAAGCCCAGAACCTGTTAATGTAGAAGCCTGAAGAATCTGGACAAATTTCCCCAAACTAGAGCCCTTCATGTAGTTATTCACTTTCAACCCGCAATCCCTGGTAGCCCAACACCCTAGATCCTCAAACGCCTTAAACGAGCTTCCCGATTGCCTAGGAAAAATGGCAAGCCCTTGGATGGAGTCATCATCGAGACCACTGGGCTAGCAGACCCTGCCCCGGTGGCTGCTAGGACCCCTTTGTGGGGCCTTTAGATAGTTTAGGCTGTCGGACTCGTGTAGGTGTTGGTCTAGTGTTCACAGTTAGGCGTTCTTAGATTGCGCGGTGCCGTATTCCCAAGGGCTCCATGACATCTATCGATATTCCATAATTTCGTACTTTGGGTACAGTCCATAAATGCTACCTTTTGAATGTTTTTTTTGCAGCCCTAGGATTACGGGGCAACGTTTAGGAGTTTAGGGTGGGCGAGGGGTGGGGGAGGAGAAAGTGGGCGGAGGGCGCATATTCTATAGTCCCCCTTAAGTAGATAGAATATGGGGTATGTGGGGATTTTGTTAGAACATACCCAAAGCCATATTCTATCTACTTGAGGGGGACTATACCCTCAAAGGCCGTCCAGCACCCGAGGCTCAGACATTCTTTGCCGACGACTTTGTTCAGCAGAACATGCAGTTGGATGGTATTGTGACCCTAGTGGATGCTAAGCACCTCATCATGCACCTCGATGAGGAGATAGGGTTCTCCCAGCTATAAGATTCAGAGCATGAAGCTTGAATATGTCATGATCGAATGCTGCCTCGTTGAAGCATGATGTGGTAGTTCCCCAAAATAGGGGTACACAATATAGACCTAGAAATATTATAGTCCTAAGTATGGGGACCTGCAAAGTGGTACCCACAATTTTGGGAGACCTTAAACCCTGAACCTAAATAGTAGCTTCCATTATGCTTCCCATTATCCAAATCCAGATGGGGATCGTTCGAAAACCATGTTTGAAAACAACATCAGCGCAGGGACGCAGTAGGCAAAAACATTGCTGGCGAAAGCTTTCAAAAGGGCGGCAAAAGGTTCAAAAGCTAGTCTCAATAACTTCTCTTGTAGCATGACGTAGCTTGACAAGTGCGCACGCGTGCGGCCGTTTCCTGACAGGGTCGTTTTGGCTCATGTCATGCATTTGCGGCGAGTCCACTGCAACATGGGTTCCTGGAGGCTTTCATGGCTAAGCCACAACTGTGTACCTGCTGCAATGTGGTCAGTCCAGCAACTCTTAGTACAGAACTGCTACCAGTATACTTGCTCTCTCATCATCAGTATCACTGTTTGTCACTTCGCTTCCGGGGCGAATGTTGCAGAACGGAATTTCGCGAAAAGCGCGTGAAAGGTGAACTTGGCCCGGGAAGGTAGTTGCCCACTCAAGCTTTTATGAAAAGCCTGGCCTCTCGTGTCAAGGAATACGTAGGTGCAGGCCTTCCTGCGGGGAAGCGGTCTCCCCGTGACACCTCTCTGCCCAATGTCGTTAATTCTGCGCCTTGGAACAAACTAATCACAATCGCCCGCAACAAGACCATGCAAGCCCTTGGCAAGGGCATGGAAATGCAACGAAGAGTGCTGGGAAACATGGCAAAGCCCCCTCAACAAATCTATCAAATGCATTGGTTATAAATAGGATTTTGGTTAAGGTTTGTTGCACATTTTATACGAAGTGCTGCTGGCGAAAGCCCCAGAAGGTCCGCAAAAGGGGCGGCGAAAGAGCTGCTTTTGGGGAAAACATATTGGACAACCCCCAAATGTATCTCCATTACCCCTAATTTTGGGAAACCCGCATTTGGGTGCGCGGGTGCCGGAGATGGTAGAGATGTTGATTGTTTGCACGCCTGGTTTCGCAGGTACGCTTGGACTCCCATTACAGGTTGGGGCAGTTAAGGTTTAAGGTTTAGGGTGTGTTTGGCCACCCATCACAGATTGAGAGTAGACTTGGCCTGTTTACAGATTACATCTGTCGAAGTAGCTTGCCTGAAAGGCAAGATCGCCAATGAATCATCATTGCAATAACAGCCAGAAGTAACTACCAGAAGTATGTACAAAATGGCAACTGTAAAAACAAGAATGGAAATACCCATAAATTGTGAGCCATGACACATGCGTTTGGTCATAGTCTAGCAGAACAAACGTTATGAGCCGGCCGACCTACTGTCACGTGGCCCTGGCAAATTAACGTCCTTAAGATGCCTCGCTGTTGTCGGGCAATTTCCATTGTCAGCAACTGCTGCTTGTTCAGACTTCTATTCCCAAAGGGTCCAAAGTACCTGTATGGTACAAAGTATGGTTCCTGTAGTAATAATTTCCCTTATGGTTTGGGTAAGTATTCCCCATAAGAGTACTTAGGACCCTTTGGGATTGTAAGACGGTGTGACCGAATGTTAAGCACGTTCCATGGCTCAAGTCTTTGAGGAGAAGCCAGAAGGAGTCGAGAACGAAGCGGTTGAGCAGGTGGGCAATGTCCCAGACCCCTGGGAGGATCTAAAAATTAGATCCCGTATATAGACCCTTTATAACCCCTATATAATCCTTATATAATTCCCCCTATGGTTCTAGGGGATCTAATTTTTAGATCCTTTTGGGGGTCTGGGGTAGAAGGCTACATGAACAGAAACGGGAACTTGTGGGAATAGACGGGTTGAGAGGAATGCTATTCTCTGTGCTGTAGGGACGTCCACATAATCACCAATATTGTGTTCCTAGCTTTCCTGTAGACTCATGGTAGAGGGTAAAACAACTGGACCTCAAATAGACTTCAACATGAGTTTGGTCATAATAAAGCTTGTTTTGTTGTGTAAGGTTTTGGAGTTTGGGTGCTAGGGTTTAGGACTCCGCGTTGAGAATGTTTTCCTTGAACGTCGTGCTTTTTCCCCATGGCTTGGGGGTTGTAGAGGGCACAGAAGCTTTACTTGAAGATTGGTTCCCCGATCAATCTTGCATCGGGCCCCAGTGGAGGACCCCGTGAAAGGAGCATCAAAGTACGAGTCCCTAGGGACACTATGGCTCTAAGGGGATTATGAAGCCTCCACATGGTTTCAAAGAATAGCCCCAAAAGCGCGTAGAACCCAAAAACACTTGACATGCGTGCCCTGCATTCCTGGATCCCCGGAATCCGAGATGGAGGATCTCATATGCAGCTCGCACAGTAATTTGTAGACTTCTTATTATTTCCTTCGGTCTGTTCGCATAAGCCAGCTTCTACATGCAATATGCGTCAGATTCTCCCCCATCCCCAGCATTTTTTGTCTTTGATGTCTTAATTGTACGTATGCCCTCTCAGGATATACGAACTAACCCCCTGAACCCAAAACCCTTGTTATCACGAATATCTGCATGCTGTGGCCAGCTAGGCAGGGGGACAGCAAACCAGCCCTTGCTGCAACCCTCATTACCTACAGATATATTGCTTATAGTTCTGATTAGTGTGGAATTAATAGTAGGCTGTGTAAAACTGGGGTTACAGGCAAACTCCTTAGCCCCAGGTGGCATTTGCCGACCGTATCATCCTGAACAAGTGTGATCTGGTGGATGGGCCCCACATTCAGGAGGTGTGGGCCACGGTGTGGGCGTCAAAGTGCCTGAAAAACTTGAGGCTTAAGGACAAGGAGGCTTTGGAGCTTAGATATTCGAATTAGGGGGTTATAACATTGGCGCAAGCGGGTACCTGTACAACTGTACGATGAGGTATTTTTGGACCAAAGATTGAGAGGTTCTGACGCATGGGTTCTTCGGCCATGGTTCAGGGCTAGCATCGCGTGCGCGCACTGGACACTTGGGATCCCAGTGGTAAGGGGCCTTCGGCACCTTAGTTACCCGCCGAAGCCCTAAGCCTAAAATCCTACCCTAGATACTTGGGTGGTTCATTTGGTTCTTGGACCCTTAAACCTCACCTGACCCTGTAGATCGCCGCTCTATATCTCTCTCCATGCCCATATCCCCCAACCCCACACCATCCCTTTCCTCACATCCAACCACAGCACCTGGAGGTCGAAAGGCGGATTCGGATGATCAACGAGTCCGTGAAAATTCAACGTGCAACAAACTCCAAGGTGAGCAGGGTTTAGGGCTTAGGATTCATAGCGGGTGGGGTTTAGGATTATAGGGCTTGGGGGTCCAAGTACTGAGACATGATATTCTTACCCGAAACCAGTACCACAATTTCGAACGCCGACACCCCAGGCGCCCATTTTTTGGAGTACATGGACCCGTATGGTTTAGGAGAAAGGTTTAGGCTTCCGGATTTGGGGCCCAGAGTGATAGCACGCCGCCTAGAGTCAGACCCTGACGTCGTAACAAGTTTCCTGGTTTGCTTGCCCACACTGGGGAAGTAGAAAACCGGAAGTCGTAATACTCAGCGTTCTCACTGGGCATTGCAGGTTCTTTATTGTCATGCAAAAATTGAGTTTACATGGTAAAACTTGTTCATCTCAGATTCTCTCATACAGTTGAAGGTGGAAGTTGTTACCGAAGTTGCTACCGCAAGCTTGGTGGATTTTCATTCTGTAGTAGGACAACTTAAGTACTGGAACGGCCGTTCCCGGCAACTTCATGGATGGCTCCTGTTGCAGCATCGCATAGCGAGATCAGATTTCGCTCATGTTGTAAAATCCCATACTACATCTGGGATTTCCCTCGGGCTTCTGACGCAAATCCCCTGCTGGACAACCTGTCTGCGCAATGCTCTTCGAAACACAGCGTTTCCTATGGGATTTGCTGATGTACAGTGGCCAAAATGCACATAAAAAGTACTGCAAACGTTGGCGTCTGCCACATAAGCGGCATTGTTACACCTTCTGTCCGGCTCTTCAAAACACAGCGTCCCCTTGGGGATTTGCATCCTGTGATGTATAACTTCCCGACAAGAATCTTTCTCAACGGGGAAGAAGACAATTGTTATGACTCCTGTTGCTGCATTTCCCAGCAGACAGGACTTTTCGCATCGTTGCTGTACATGCCTGAACCCACGCGTTTCACTGCGGAACCAGGAAAATGCTATGACAGTTATGACTTCCCCGGAAGTAGTCGTTGCGCGCTTTTCAATGGGGAGCCGGTTCCCGCGCTGTAGTTGTTATGACTTCAGGGTCGGACTATATTACTCCAGGTTCAACCTGAGAGGAGTGCACGCCCACGATACGCGGAATACTCGGCCAAGACACTCCTCTCTCTATTCTGCAACTTTCGACTCTCCATTCTTCACAGACCAGGTTCCATTCTCCACACTCCCCTCTCCACTCTTCCCTCCACTCTCCACACTTCTCCAATCTACACTCCACGCTCCATTCAAAGCTCTCCACTCAACACTTCGCCACGCTCCAGTCTATCACTTTCCACTCCACTTTCCTGTCCACTCCCCATTATCCACACCCCAGTCCACTTCGACTTCACTTTACACTCCACCCTCCACACACTCCACTCGCCATTCCACCTTCCACTCCACTTCCACTTTCATTTTCCACCCCACACACGAGGATCCAAAAGTGACAACAGCTATGGTTGACATGCAACGAAGACGCATGACGCGAAGGTCCCAAGGCGACGACGACGAGGATGGCGACCCTGACGGGGTCCAGCCGCGGGGCAGCACGGAAACGCTTGCGAATGCTCACGGACGCTTACTCCCGCAACCGCTATGTTTTTTGGTCACGCCTTGGACCCTTAGACCCCAACACTTAAAACGGGAACTCTTCTACAGAGCGTTCGGGAACAAGGGTTCGGGCTGTAGGATCTATATAGGGTTCACGGCGTGCAGGCTGCAGCGTTCAATGTTTACAGGGTATAGGGTTCAGCGTTCATAGCTTGTAGGCTTTAGGGTCTAGGGCGAAACAAGCCCGAGGTGGACATGGACTTCATCATCGGCATACAGGCCATGCTCCTAAGGGATATACAGGGGTTATGTGGTGGATGGGGGAACTGAACTCCTGCACCAATAGGACAGCCATAATACTGTGCTGGGCACGGCAAATAAGGTGGTGCAAGATTTCCGCAATTCGGGTGTAGAATCCATGTGAGCTATAGCCTAGGCTCCCTAAAGGGGCTAGACAGGGGATCATATAGGGGAGTAGTATGGGGTACAGAGGGGGATACCAGCAGGAGTTTAGACAACAGCTCCTGTGGTCGCTTCCGCAGGTGTTCCTCCGGCCTGTTTAGATGTTTCTGGCAACTGCAACGTTTCGCTGATAAGTCACTTTCCCTCTATGAATATGTTCCCAGTTGTACCATTCTACTCGAGCGAAGTGTTTCTTCTTGGGTATGGGGCCGTCGCATAAAAGGGGGGGAGGGGGTGGGGGTGACATGTACAGCCCAAACAAGGATGTTAACATGGTTCTTTGCCAGGAATATGCGAGGTTTTTGGGTGTGCTCATGTACTATGTCATGTGTGCTGGAACCAACCGAGCCCAAGCTTCAACAAAGGTTTCCGACGGGGTTTATGAGGCGTGTTTAAAAAGGGTGTATGTGCAGGTGCCAGGTGTTCCCGATGCCTTGCAACCTTGTAGGGGGCTTTATTTAATGACTGGGAAACTGAACAGCCAACCCTGTAAGTACCCCAAACGTGCAAGCCGTCTAGGCCTTTGATTTGGACAAGATTTTGGAGATGGATGATGGTTTCCTGGAAGATGAGCAAGATCATCAGCACGATGATCGGGTTACATCATGTGGCTTCCACGTAAAAGGTGAGATTAATCAGCAGAAGCTGAATGAGTGGCTTGGGTGGCTGTTGAAAGAGAAACTTGCAATGCATTTGGGACTTGCAACGCTGTCCGGCCTCTACTATTCATGTTCATGGGTTCATGACATCATGGGTGATTGAGCCCCCTCTACTGACTCTACTAAAACCCCACCCTACTGCTTAGGTCAGAAAATTGAAAATAAGGTTCCCCTTCTATTGCAGTCCTGATTCGCCCCGTGACTTTCCATGAGCCAGATTATGAATCCTTCAAGAACGCACAAACACCCTGAGAGTCTGTACCTTGGCTAACTCTCTAGATTAAGGGTTTGCTTGGAGGGTCAGGGGACTTAGTAACTGGGTTACTAATGGGGATAACTAGGGTTACTACATGGGTTATAAGCGTTATTAACCTACTTACTAAGGCTCCTAGACCCTCCAAGTAGGGTTTAGGGACCACAGCGTAATCATTTTCGTTATCGCAGGCCCATGCGTATGATACCTGGTAACTCCATGTGAGCGAGAGTTTGCACTCCTTGAAGGGGGTCGTATAGGGGCTTATAGAGGGGACTATTACAGGGGTAGTAAAGGGGATGCTAGGAGTTTAGACTATGGCACATGTTGCCCCAGTTGCCATGTTATTTCTCCACTTGATTCATCCAGCCCCAACCTAGGAAAGGCCTTGACCTCTTCCGGACGAAGGGCGTTCTGGCCGTCCAAGGAATGCAGGAGAAGTTTGTCTTCCAGGCTGTTCACATGGCCTTCAAGCATCTTGGCGGCTCAGTCAGTGGCACGCTTTTTGGGCTGAGGGCTCTAATTTGGGGTCAAGGGGTCTAGAGTTCAGGGCTTGTGATTGCGTTTCGGTTTCTCGTGGATCCTTAGCTTTCAGGCGGGTTTCCCATGTCCAGAACGAGGATCATACCCTTCCCCTTGGCTGGGTACCTCTTTGAAGTAAGCAACCCTAAGCGAGAAGTGAATAATGAAGTTTTAGGTGCTATTGGAACTGCAGAGCTGGACCCCATACCCCTGAACCCTCAACCCATCGCAGAACTCCCCACTACCAGTAAGAATAAAAGCCATAAACCACAAAACAATGATGGGTATATGCGCTATGCGTTTTGTATATTGGAGAGGCCTAGCTTTACATGCCCTACGGGACCAAGTGCCCAGATGCCAGGCTTTTCTACCCAAATCCATTCACATATAGATGCTTGCACAGAGCAGCCTAGGAGTTCAACGCAGAAGGTGTGGCAGCCGGATGAGGAGCGCATCTGCAAGCTCACCTTCATTGGCAAGAACCTGAATCGCCAGGACCAAGCCCAGATAGCTCGAACGTTCACACCCCGAATGCCTAAGTATTTGGAATTCAGCGCTTTGCCCTCCCCTAAACTACTGCGGAATCTTGAGTGGATTCCTAGAAGGACTACCGTCCTTTGACGGGTGTCCGCGACACTCTGCGAGGGTTTCAGTGCAATTTTGATCTCAGAGTTGGGTCGCCAGGAGCTCGAGGACGGCTTCAAGAAGTGCTTGGTGAGCAAGTCAGGCGGCTATGACGCGAAGTGATTGAGAGCGCCGCGCAGCACCTCGTTGCATGCCAGTCTTGAGGCGTGTTCTGAGCATGCTGATGCACCGTGAGGGGTGGTAC